CTCTCATATTTTCTATCTGACATGAAATCACTGTAAGTTCCTTCTGTGATTTTTTTTAAGAGTAATGTAAAAAGGTTCCCCTCGCACATATGTGCTAGTCATCCCTGACTCTAGAGGGCGGTGCTCATCTCTATTTCAAAGCCGAAGAGCCAGCGCTGTCCGAAGAAGAGCATTAATAAATTAACCAAAATATGCAATGTTTTTCTGTTAGTTATAAGTAGAAATTATATACATTAGAATAAAGGTTCATAACTTGATATCATAGATGCACACCTAGCCCAGTGTCAAATCTTCAATATATATATTTTAGATTTATCTCCCAAATTATCACCAAATGTAATTTTTAATGTAACAGAATAAATATTTCAGATTAAACATTGGGCAAACAGATTATCTTTTGTACTCTTATGTATAAAAATTTCATGTACTGATTTTACAAATGAAAAAGCAGAATAATATGGAATCCTTTAATGATCATCCTAGACACAAAGCAGGATTATACTTAAAACATAATGAATAAACTTTGTTCAGAATAAAAATGTAGCATTTCTTCAATGTCTTCTATGTTATTGAACATAGTCCTCTAAAGAAGCATTTGGTAATAAACATATATTGGCAGAGATTGCTGACTTCCTTCTGTCATACAAATGGGGCAAATCAACATGTTTTTGTTTCTGTGAGACATTTTATGTACATATACTGTAGCTTCCTACACCCACCCCCGCCACCCCAAAGATAGGTCCCTAAATGAATGTATTGCTTAGTTGGTGTTGAAATTTGTTAATGCTCATGATAGAACTTGTAAAATATTCCCCAGTTAATGTAACTAGTTAGCAGTAGTTGATGGCGGCTTTGATCTCATACTCTGTTAGTTTGAGGAGGCAAGATGTTTTAAGGGAACCTCATATAGGCTTAGTAAACCTATATAGATATTTTCAGATAGAAGATAAATAGGAGGGAGGGAGAGAAAATTAGCTCCTCTAGTTGCTGATGTTTGAGAAAAGTTTGTGTGGTCAATGGTAGATATCTCCTAAAACATGGTTTGGTTAGGAAATGAAATTACATTAGATTTTTGGTTTTCTACATGACAAGTTGAGGCAAAAGAGTAAGAAAAACTATGAATATAAGAAGATATGCATAATGATAGGTGAATAAAGAAAGAAAAGAAAAACAGAAGATATTAGGGATAGGAGTCCACACATATCAAAAGCCTTGTCTTCATCGCAAAAATGCATAATATATACTCAAGCATACAGAGCATATGGAAGCCAATCCAGAAACAATACATTTCCTTTGCTTCCCACACACTTCCATCTCCAGGCAAATAGACTTTTCATTTGTATGATCATAGTTACAGCTACTCCATCATTCAAAACTGGATCTAATCGAACTTAAAAATAATCCCAATTTTAAAATAGTCAACATTTTCCATAGCCATCACAAAGTCATCAATACATGAGACTTTGCTGTGTTTAAAATGTGTTTCCAGTTGTAAATCGCTGCTGACTCTACAATATCTATGATTTGATGAATAATTTGCATAAAGATCACACAAATTAGTTCTTATATATTAAAACTAACACTTTGGCATTTGTATATGAACATACAAATAGTTTTTTGTAGTTTTTTGTTTTTTGTTTTGTTATCCAGAACATTTATTCTTCATTCTACATATGTTCATAAATTGAGGATCCAATTCTGTTTTGAACTTAAGATAATTGTTTTTATGAATTCAGTTTTATGATTTCCAAAGAATTTATTTATTTTTGAAAATATTGCCACGGTTTCCCCACAGATTAAGCCTTCAGCTATATTGTAACGCACGGGAGCCTCCATGTATAAAATCTGTGGAGTTCTTGGCACTCTCTCAGTTTGGTTGTTTGCATGCAAATGTTTCATTACCTGATCAGATAATATCATTAGTGCTAGTTAGTGTGACTTCACTATTCACCTCTGAATTTCTTTTGTTCAAATGTGTGAAATCTGTTTATTTTATAAAAGAAGTTGTATCAGCTTAAAATATCTAGATTGCAGCAAAAAGAAAACTAGTAAGTCCCAATCATATTGATGGCAAAAGCTCTCCTGTTTATGTGAGTTAAAAGACACAAAATTCTGCAGAGGCAGTTACATTTCTTACAATTGAGTTTATTTTCTGCAGACAATTTGGATTGTTGGAAAATGTTGGAGTGTTAAATCCAAAGGTGTTTTAAGTGATAGACAAGCTGACAAGTTTTAGAGTAATGATGATGTGGAAATACATTCATGTTTATATACTTTTAAAAATCTAAATGTAACCTTTTAGATTCTACAAATATTATGCCATTTTAAAGTGTATTTCCAGACTAAATTAATATACTGCTTAAACCTGTAATGTCTCTTTCATACATCTCTACTGAATATGTATCTTCTTAACTGCATGGTGAATGTGTTGTGACAAGCTGATAAGATTTTTTTTACATGGTATTTTAAATTTTCTTATGCCAAGAATTTGCAAGAGGCTACATCAGTTCGTTGGCAAAGATATGTCACAATAATGATTCTTTAATTTTCTGATCTCTGTTGGTTAGCTGAAGAGCATAATACATATATATGTGAGTAGCAATTATAAGTTTCATCCTTTTCATTGTGAAAAACAGGCAGATGACAACAAAAGTAACCATTTGTCTGAATAAAATCCAAAAGTTACATATATGTTTGATGCGTGCACTAACATGTATATATGTTTGTGTGTTTTAAGGGGCACATCCCTTGAGCTTCTCACTAAGAAGTAAAATTTCTTTTGCGTTGAATTTGATTCCTGATAATACTACAGATACTACCATAGTATTTATAATAGTACAGAGGTGATTTGCCCATGTCTTCTTTTGACTTACCATTCAAACTAATAGCCTTGGGCCCATTCCACTAATACCTAGGTCTGATTTTGCAATACAGCTTGATTCTGTCCCTGAAGTTTATGCAGCTTCTGATACTCCTTGAAAAATTACTCCTGAAGATGGGCCAATAATTCAAAAAAGCGTTTTGTACGATGCTGTTATGCAAAAAAAATGCTTATGCAAATATTTATACATATGCAGCTACATAGTGGTTAATTCTTGCAAATTTTCCCATAGGGAAATAATACACCATATTTTTTAACAAAAAATACTATCTATCTATCTATCTATCTATCTATCTATCTATCTATCTATCTATCTATCTATCTATCTATCTATCTATAAATCCATGTTACACAATTCTAAAAAGTATAAAATTCAGTCAATAGATACATTTTGACTTTTCTTATTTGCGAGGAGCTAAATAGATCTCTCCCCCCCCCTCTAAATTTAGTTAAAAGTAGGTTTTTTTTCAATCAATCTTTAGATTTAGGGTTGATTTTTCAATTTCAAATACACAACTACTGTATATAGGCCCCAAAGTGAGGGGAAAATAACCCAGAAAACAGATATTATATTGTGTTTCTCTATTTATTATTCCCTTATATATTTCAGATGGTGTTTTTTATCAAGGAGGAGTCCATAATGTTAAATGTCAACCATAAGTCTTGTTTCTTTGACTGATGCAGACATGCAATAGAGCATCTGTTTCTGTGTTTTTTTCCTTGTGATTTTCATCACGTTTTTCTTCCTTGCGGGCTGCAATTTATAATTTTATTACAAAGTCTTCTGTTTCAGGCAGATTAATGCAGTTGCCACAGATGGATAAGGCAAGAAATATATACATTGAACAATCCAAAGTGAGGGAGGAGAATAAAGATAAAATGGAATTTCCACAGGCTTTTTGCCTCGGTGCTTCCCCAGATTATTATGGGCTGTGTAGACCTAAACACTGCTAGATAATGAACATAACTCCAAGCAAATTATCACAACAGTCGTTGGTCCCATACAAAATAAAGTCAGTGGAACGAAACACCGTTCTTGAAGAGTTAAGATAAAATTTACAAATATGCAAGTCCTTTTCTGCTTTCAATCTGGCTACTACCAAAAGGAGTTTGAAGACAACTGCCTTTCCTTGTTGTTTGCTACTGACTCCTACCTTGTCTTTGATTTTACACTGCTGTTTGTAGAATTTAATAAAGTAAATGTAATAATGCTACGAGTACCTTAATCTACAATCTCAATTTAGCTGACCATGAGATAAATAGGAGCAGGAATGATAGTGCATTTCTACGGATTGTTTTTAATAAGCGTGTTATTTAGTTGATCGTCCAAGAGCAGCAATGCCTCGCTTTCTAGTCTGCCAGACAAATTTATTAATGCTTCCTGCCCCTCCTCCAACTGATTCCCTGCAGACAAATCTCTATTGAGCCTTTAGAAAGTCACAACTTCCAAATTAGATTAAGTACTAGGAATTGTACTAGCAGAATCAAAGAAAATTGAATGCGTTATTGAATTCATGCCACATTGTCTCTATGAAGGACTGACTTTAGATATAACAGTAACTTTAGTCCTTAGTTTGCTGTGAGTGTTGCTGCCACGTACTTGAAAAGGGTTAATCTTTGTTTGTTTGTTTTTTCATTTATCTCTACTGAGACTGCAAAAAGAAAAAAAAGCTTCAGTGATAAATGCTTTTGAGGGGAAAAAAATATTCATAGATTTCTATGCCTGACCCAGTTTCTGTATATCGTGCATAGAAAATTAACAAATCATGAAAGATTTGGCATTGGAGTGTAAGCATACTTACTTGTCATTTGATAAATACATTCATTTTAGAATTGCCTGTTTCCCATTTGGGCCTGACATATTAAGAGGTGCATAATTAATGGATGACATAAATAATTAACATTAACTTTACGGTGCTTAATATGCCATCATTTATCCATCAAATTGCTTGTATGCATAAATGTCCTTCCATCAAGTTTTGAATTACGAAAGGTGATTTCTAAATCCTTAGTTTCTGTGTTGCACAATAACCAGTGCATCTTTTTTTAAAAAAAATTCAATTACTCTTCCTCCCAGGGCAATAGACTTTATGGTCACATCACCTTTATTTCTTCTTAGAACAGCACATGAGCAGTTAAACCAGGGACTTCGGTTAGGGAATCCAGGCCCCAATGCACAGCCTTCATCAGTGGCGAAAGAGCACCACCTTGCTGTTGCCAAAGCTCTCTGGAGAAATTTCTTTCCCTACTTGAAGGGCCAGAGGATGGTGAAGACTCCCCCTCCTCAGATTGCAGATACAGCTGCAGGTTTGTACTCCAACTTGACCTCGTCTTTCTTGTGACCATGATGCATTCTTCCTGTTTCTAAATAACTTGTTACTGGATATAGTAGAATCTACCTACACATTGTAAGATTCCTGTAGGCAGCCTTTTGATGCATTGCATATACCTCGATGGGAAGAGAGAAACTCATATTTTCCTCTTAGTAGAGGTTTCACTTTATTCATAGGGTCCCTCGGATCTATAAATCAAGTGGCACTTTTTTTTTATTAGATGTTCATTGTATTGGAAATTGTGTACTTGTGCTCTTAAGCAATGTTAACGGTTGATACGTCACCATATTCAATACCATGCGTATTCTCCGTGCTTAAATGAGTTTGTTTAGAGTCTCTTGCCGCTACAAATTCCCTTCCCTCGGGTTTCTCTAGGATTATGATAATCTTCACTGTTCTGTAAATGTATCAGGTAATATTTCAAATACATTGTGTGACTTTAAAAAAAAATCCTATATTCTGGAGTCTTGCAATGTAAGAATGCCGCTCAAAATTCTAGCAGATGAAATGACATCTTCCAACAAAACTATAATAGTGGTGATCCTTGACTTCACTGGAGCTGTGCCCACCCAATCCAGTTCCTTTGTATTTTAATATAGTACTATTTCTTCCATGATATTCCCGTATACTAACTCCGTATATTTCAACTCAGTGCAAGAAGGCTTGCATTTAGTTATAATACCTCACTGAATCCATTTCAGTATTATTTGTAAAAGATAGATTTGAATTTAAATGTATTTTCCTCAATATGAATTAAGAACTGAACATATGCATTCTTAAAAATCCTAATCGTTAATGAAAAAAGACCTTGAACTTCAGCAGCTTTGCAATAGTTAAGGTATAATAACGGCGGAATAAAATGCAATTTCCTTGGCATGTAATGGCATATGGATACGACACTAAAGCAGTGGCTCTGGTACCTTCTTTTAGTCAATTCTAGTTTTCCTTGCATAGTGCTTTAAAAGTTTTTAAAAAGGAAACTATATAATTGATCATCAGTAACATTGAGAATATAGCAATGTTTGTGTTAAAATGCTAAAGAACAGTGAAAGTATGAGTTTCTTAATGCATATTCAATGAATGAATAAATGACATAGCACAGTTAAGTTTTAACTCATTTTGATTGAGGAATTAGTGCCAATATCATTTTCCTCTTTCCCCAAATGTCCACAAAGATAAAAATAAACTCGGATTATAAATAGAGTGGGTTGATCTATGCTAGAGAGTAAGTCCGACTGATGAAGCTGGCTTGACAACATATAGCATAATCCGTGTCACTTTATGATTGCTATTTCCAGTTTCTTTCATTTGTAACAATAGAATTTCCTGGAAATAGAAAGCAGCTGGTGGAAACAGGTTTTAAGATACGAACAGCAAGCAGGAAAAGCTGAAGCATATGTCTTGAAGCTCTGCTCAAGATTTCAAATTATTTATATTCACTGGGGAATGGGAAAGAATCTTCGTATTTTTAAAAAATCAATTATATAAAAAGCATGGAAGTTTGTTCTACTTCTCTACTCTTCTAACACATAGCCACTTTGTTTTTTTTTAAAAAACAGGTTTGACTTTGTTAGCTTTGGATTTACCCAGCACATGTACCTCAGATCTCCAGCCTCAGCCAATTATATCTATGATGCAGTTGTTTGGATGGGATGATATGGTTTGTCCTCGGCTGGTATCAAGGTATCTAACTCATCTGATACAAAACAGGTAAGCCATATAACATCCTGGTTAAATAAAAACAGGTGTCATAACTTTGGTTTACTTTGTCTATTGCAGTAACAAATTTTACTGCAATAAACAGGTTTTTTATTGCAGTAAAAGATTTTTTTCAGTTATATAAATAACCGCCAATATTATCCTTTATCCAATACACTAAATAATCCAATTTCAAAAGCTATTTTGTCATGCTTTTGTCAAGTCTGACTTAATTCTTTTCAGTCTGCTAGGAAGCAGATGTATGGTGGGGAAAGGGGAACATCAGAAAAAAAAAGAGGATAGAATAATGAAGAAGAAAGGGAATGGATGTGTGGTGGACAGTAAAGACGCTAAATTGCATTTCCAAGCAGAGATTATCATTTTTCTTCTCTCTCAATAGTTCAGGAGAACCAACTCCAATACATTATATCAATTTTCCTGAAAACATTTACATTGTATTGTGTTTTCATTGATTTTCCTAACTCCCTGGCCTATATAAGCTGCAAGGAACTTTTGCACTATTCTGCTGGCTGTACACTGAAGCACAATTGGAAAACTGGGAATAAGTGAGATAAGCGTAGATTTTGCTACAGTTTGCAAACTAGGTTAAGGGTTTGTTCTGCCCAGTTTTGGGAGAGGTCATGGTATTCTGTGCCATGGGGCATATGGGGCATTTCTTAGTGACAGGAGTTCTTGGAATCATTTACAGATTTTTTTTAAAAAATCAAGGAGAAAGAATGACTTTTCTATTTATCTAATTTGTTTTTATTTATTGGCTTTCTTTTCTGTACAGTGCACTGGCTGAAGCTCTTACTGGCATGGGTCATTCATCTTACCAATCCTTGTTTGTTCAGTCATGGTTTCGGTGCATTTTACAGACGTTTATCAATCAGCCTCCCGAGACTTTGATCAGAACAGATGCTGAGCAAACTTCCAGTATGTGCATTGGTTTATATGTGATCAGCAGCAATAGAAACTCAGTCTTTTCAATTATGTACACAATGTTAGTTTACCACTACCATCACAGTTACTACTTTTTTGCCTTATTATCTTCCAGTTTGTGTTTGCCTGCTTGGGCAATTGATTAGTTGCTTATTTTTTAATTTTAATTTAAAGTAAATTTGTTCATTTGAAAACAAAAAGAATTCCCAAACATTGATGAATAATGTAATTAATTGGAAATCATATGTCAAATCTGATAAATTATTTCAAAATGTTTTAACTCGTGTGAGAGGACATTGTTCTGTATGACAATTGAAAGTCTGTATTTATAGTTATTAATGCTAGTGATTCTTTTTATTATATTTTCAAGCAAAGGGGAAGATACCTGTGAAATTGGAGTAAAGGACAACAGATGAATTAGTGGTCATTTCATGTATTTTACATTTGATGTTTGATGATCTGACCGGAATTGAGTTAAACATATGAGCTTGGTTGAGCTGAGCAGTGGATAAAATTTAGAAATATTTTATCTTAGGCTTAGGTTTGTCTTTTTTTAATGTTTACTGAAGTATACAGATGTTTGCAAGGGGAAATAACAAAGATGGAAAGAGAGGTTAAAAGCAAAGGGTTGGGGGGAAGATACTTACTAAGAGTCATAGCATCTTACGACTTCCAAGAAATATGTATGCTTTCTTTTTTAAAAAACCTGCTTTTTTACAGTTTTTCGATTAGTCTAGAACAGGGTTGTCAAACTCGATTTCATTGAGAGCTGCATCAGGGCTCTGTTTGACTTTGGGGACGTGGCCATGGTAAGTGCGGCCAGTTCAACATTCCTCATGTCAGGGGCACTTGTGATGGCCTATGGGGGGAGAGAGATTCTCTATTGCTAGTAGTTCATTTTGCTAGCACTCTGCCAAGCGAAAACGGAGCTCAGGGGAGCCTCTGCGCAGTTCCCCGGGCTCCATTTTCAGCTGTGATGGACTCCAGCAAAAAGGGCCACTGCACGTTTCACCGCTCCGTTTTCACTGGCAGAGGCACTGTGGGCCAGTCCTTTGCTGTTTCCAGGGCAACCCCAAGGGCCAGATTTAAGCACCCCATGGGCCAGATCCAGCCTTGAGTTTGACACTCCTGATCTAGAATAATAAGGTTTAGAGTGAAATTTACCCTCTTTCATTGGAGCTCACTAAGAGACTTGGCCAATTACATTCTCAACTCAACCTACCTTATACGGTTTTTTGCACTTGTTCAGAGAAATTGAGGAGGAAGCACTGGGTTTACGGCTTTGTGCTCCTTGAGGAAACACAATATATAAATCCAACTAACAAATACTACTGGTGTTAGAGTACAATTCATATCTTTTCCTTGTAGAAGTTGTAGTTCACCATACCTGAGGAACTGTCTAAGGATGTATACTTGATGAGAAAAGTCCAATGCTAAGTCACATTAAATTCTTCTGTTGTGTTGATAAATAGATAAGGCTTATATGGAACAACTGACTGAACTTACAAGGTTGATATTCAAACTGCCAGAAGTAATAACTATCTTCTCAAAGGCTCACTTTGAGGAGTCTGTCTACAAACAAGATCCTAAGGAGGCTGTTTTCCGGTTCATTGAGGTACGGTGTTTATTATAAATATCAGTTTTGGAGGAACAGAATTAGAAAATGCCCTATCCTATCTTAATAGGATAGATGTGTCCCAGTATCAAGAATTGCTCTCCAATTTTTTTCTCCTATGTTTTCTTAGGCTGTTGGAAAAAACTACAGTGAGCTTCAGCATCTGCCTGAAAAATCAGTCATGGTGACAAAGGCATTGGTATATCTTGGTGACATATTAAAATATGTAAAACCCTATTTAATAAAGAAAGGGCCTGCAGAAGGACTCCATCTCACCTACAAGATAATAGGTAATTCTCATACTTAAGGTAAAGGTTCCCCTCGCACATATGTGCTAGTCGTTCCTGACTCTAGGGGGCGGTGCTTATCTCCGTTTCAAAGCCAAAGAGCCAGTGCTGTCCAAAGACCATCTCCATGGTCACGTGGTCGGCGTGACTAAACACCAAAGGCTCACAGAATGCTGTTACCTTCCCACCGAAGGTGGTTCCTATTTTTCTACTTGCATTTTTACATGCTTACGAACTGCTAGGTTGGCAGAAGCTGGGATAAGTAATGGGAGCTCACTCCTTTACACAGTGCTAGGGATTCGAAACGCTAAATTGCCAACCTTCTGATAGACAAGCTCAGCATCTTAGCCACTGAGCCACCGCATCCCTAAATTCTCATGCTTAGTGCTCCCCTTATCAACAATATAAAGCAAAGCCATTAGTGTCAGTGCTTCCAGGCAGAAGAACTTCTAACCTACAAAAGCCAGGTTGCTCTTTGGTTCCCTTGCAAGTGTCTGTCAACAAAACTAGCCAGGAGACATAGTGCCTAGTGGGGTTATGTTCATTAAGAGTTTGCTGGGATGTGCATTTGTTAGGGTTGTCATAAACTCCTTCTGTAGCACATTGAGACAAGTTGAGAATAAACCTTTGCAACAACTTAGATTTCCCCAGGAAGATCTGTCCCCAGTCCCCAGTTTGGCCCTTCAGATCCCCAGTGTTGCACCAATGGCTGCTGGGATTGAGTTCATCAATCTTATTGCTGGCTGTCCTCTTCTTTTCTTCCTTTACATTTTTCCTTAATTCTTACACAGATAGTCCTTGACTTACAAACACACTTAAGCCTCAAATTTTTGTTATTAAATGATGCATTTGTTAAGTGAATTTGGCTTCCTCATGGACTTTGCTTGTCAGAAAGTTGCAAAAAGGAATCACGTGACTTGGGACAACAATCATAAATAGGAATCAGTTGCCAAGTGTCTGAATTTTGATCACATGATTATGGGAAAACTTTTAACTCTGAAAAACAATCACAAGTCACATTTTTCAGTGCTGTAATTTTGAACAGTCACTAAATGAACTGTTGAGGACTACCTGTAATTACTGAAAGTAGTTCTGTCCTTTCCTGCAGACTGTTATCTTGAGATACTTGCCGCCTGCCTGACTTCCTTCCTTCCTTCCTTCCTTCCTTCCTTCCTTCCTTCCTTCCTTCCTTCCTTCCTTCCTTTCCTTGGAATGCTTCCCTCAGTTCTTCA